TTGAATGATTTAAAAAAATGGTTTTAGTTATGAATTTAAATTGAATCCTATATATGGTTGTTTAGGGATTTTACAAGATTGGTTTGCACATTTTGTGGAGTTGATTGGATAGATTACTAATGAATGCAATTGGCATGGTGCAGATGTGTATTGGTGTTTGACAACAAAGGTGATTTCAATCATAGGAGAGAAGTGAAAAGCCACTAGGTGATGGGTGAGAAAAGTCAAAAACAATACAACTGAATGAAAAATTTAAATGCAAAGTTTTATGAAATTGATGAGAAGTGGAGAAAGAGAGGAAATGGTTTGATTAGTTGCGATATTTAAGAAAATGTTTAATACTGGTATTATTTTGAAAAGAAATGGTTTGGTTAGTTGAGAGATTTAAGAAAATGGGTAATATGGTTATAATTTGAATTTAAATTTTAATCCAAAATGGGGGTTTTTCAATGATTTTGCAATATTGGGTATCTTGTAAAATCCAAAATGGTTAATTGCATTCATTGTTAGTGATTATCAATGTAATTGGCATGGTACCATAACGAGTTGATTTAGTTCTAGCTAGTGGTTCATATAAATATTGGTATCTGAGGGGTGGAGAGGGGGTATTTTCAGTTATAGGAGGAAAATGAAAAGACACAAGACGATAGGATAGAGAAAACTCAATGAAAATTAATAATAACAAATTTTATAAAATTGATGAAAAGTAGTCGGAAAACAATTAGAATTTTGTATTTGTTGCAAAATTGTTATAGATTAGGCAACCAAATTATAGATTCAATATGAATTTAAGAAAAGAAAATATAACATGGAGAAAATAAAATAATAATACAATAAATTTATAAGTTGTAGTAGGCGTTTGAACACTTGAATCCTTAAAAGCAGTTTGTGTTGATTCCTAGTCCTGGAAGGTAGAACCATAGAACCAAAATATGGGGTAAAATTTATGTTCTTCTCACATAATTTGATTTCACCAGTCATATGGGTTTATTTGTAGAAATAAATGAACAATTGAATGCCCAAGCTTCCTATTGGAATAAACAATAAATGACATAAAGAGAAACAATATTTCCTTATTAATGCAAATGCATCAAGAAAATTATCATCTCTATTGGTCATCAACTATTCAATAGTTGATAGTGTCAAATATTCTATTTTCTGGTTAGAATTTATTCGTGAAATTGCTAATAATATTTTTCTTTCTTTCAAAGTAAAAAAACATATATTTGTGATTTTCTAGCTCTACTTTTGGTAGGAAATAAGGGTTCTTGTTCTTTAATGATATATGTTGGCTATTGTATGATTATATATTTCCAGGAAATCACGTTCGATTTCTCTCACCAAAATAATTCCTTCTATTCAACACTCACGATGAATCTTTTATAGCAGTCCTACTACAGCCCTTGTTTACATTTAAGTTACAAACTATGATGCACCGACACTTCTCCTCAAAGAGGCGTGCAGTGTCCGACACCGTGTCTGACACGACACTCGTCCGACACTCCTCCGACACGTGTCGGACACGCCGAAAACGTGTCAGATTAAAAAAATATTAAAAACAAATTG